TAAGTCCATTGCTATTGCTATTGCAGAGCATGAGTTCCCCTCCCATGGGACTTAGCTTTGGTAGGTCGCGGGAACTGGAGCCTCCTGTCCCTCGCTCCGGAAAATGGCAGCTGGTCTTATCTGAACTGCTATTTTCGGGGCTGGGACAGGAGGCTCCAGTTCCCGCCCTAGGTAGTAGTCTAGCTGGGGTGGTGGGAGTTCTCCTTTGTGCCTTGTTTTGAGGTCTTGGGGAGCTTGCTTCGATGAAACTGGAAAGGAAAGGGTGGAGCATAGAGGCATGGCTTCAGCTTCATCTCAGTCTTGTGGCCAATTGGGCGTGTTAATACCATCCACTGGAGCCTCCTGTCCCAGCCCCAAAAATAGCAGTTCAGGTAATACCAACTGCCATTCTAAAAGCAAATGGGGCCATATCTTAGATACAACCTGTAGCTGCTGCATACAGATCCTTCTTTATCCAGTTCTTAGCATCTCATGTTAAAATGTCTCAGGCATATGCTGGGGAACAACTTCAGATTGGCAACTTCATTTATGCCCCCATTTCCAAATTTGTATTTAGCGGCCTCCCTTTTTCTTTTTGTCAAATGTATATTTTTAATCTTTAATCTTGTAGAAGCAGTAAATGTTGCAGTGATTTATGTTGCTCTTCAAATGTCGCTATAGTAGAACTAACCTTTCTTTTAATGTAAAACTAAGATTAGAAGCAGCCGCCACAACTTCAGGGTGTAAAATACTGGATATCCTTCAGATTTACTATTCAAAGACTTGCTTAATTATGATATAAAATACACTTTCATGAACAATATGGCAGTTCAAAGCACTTTAAAAAACTTGTTTCTCAATGCCTGGCATGTGTATGCACTCATGCAGAAAGACCTAGGAATAGTGTCCAAAGCATTTATGCAAACCTTGCAAATGAACAGCATGATTTTGAAAAAGATACGGTTTTGCCCTCTGTCTATTCAAGCTCCTGATAACATATATTCAATGTTTCAGATCCAGCTAAGCTTTGCAGGTATAATTGACAGATAGATTCCATTGTGAAAAATATCTTCCTCATTCTCTATGGACATGGGTGTGTTAACTGTTTTTTTAATGAACTTCAACTTCTAATCTTAGAGCAACTGTTAAGCATCTGTGTTGTGTAGATTACAATACAAGCTTAACAGATGTATGCCCTACTCTTCATCCTATGACCTAATTTGAGAGTTTAAAAGGCTTAGCGAGTTCAATGACAATTTTTCGCTTTCCTGTGTCTTGGTTCTGAATGTCAGCAGCTAGTTATCTGCTTGTTTCCCTTTGGCAATGCACTTTTAATCTTCATCTTCAGTCCTCTCCTGGGACTTCAACCATACCCTCTGAATTGATTAGTTATTGTCCCTTGGTAATCTTCACCATTTTCTCTCATCTTTAGCACACTTCTTCAGATGGTGCCAAACAACTTTTCAGCAGTGCAAGTCACAACAAGCAAGCAAAATATGTTGTGATTTTTATAGGATGTTTTACACAAGGCTAGTTAATGAAGTTTTCTGTTTTTCATAAAAGCACATAATTCCGTATTTTCAATAACTAAAACTTGCTTGGCTATTTGGCATATCCACAATACACTAATGTTCCTTTTCTCAGTCAGGTGGCATCTAGCCAATCTAAGCTTATTTCAAATTATCTTGTAAAGCAATGCAGGGCTAGACCTTGTCTCTACTTGGTAAGCCTATGCTTCAAATGACATTCATGTAGTAGAAACAACATATTGTAATTCTCTTTATCTCAGTGAAGCAATTTACATTGCCACAAATCAAGCCAGTGCTTCTGGAAAAGCCTCTGTAGTCTTCTTTCCCAGTGCAGGCCAAAAAGCTTCTAGCTAAGTGGGCTTGCAACATGTTACAGGATTCATTGTGCACTGAAGCTGTCTAACCTTGAAAATCTTAGTATGTATCAAGATGTCTTTAGATTGGGTAGATTCTACAGACTCACGGAAAATCTGGCTAGTTCTGTCTTCTGCAGTGCTCAACAAAGGATCTTCCCAGACTTTCCTCACAGTGTAAACTCTGCAGAAAAAAACTAGGATCATTGTGAAGCAGAACATCATGGTTGCTTTGCTCTTAGAACTGAAGGACACACTTTGCTTTGTAAAATAACCTGAATGGGTTGTTTGCCCAAACCTTGAACAACATAACCCTTCAAAGATTTGCACAGCCCTAGTTCTTGGTTGGCAAAAACATTAGGAATTATCAAACCTTAAGGCTAGATTGGAAAATTGAAAATATTTTCAAAAGAAAACAGTGGCAAATAACTTATGTATTGTTGACAAAATGTACTTTGTGGACAGGACCATTTCTTGGAATTTTTACTTTTCAATTTTTATTAAATAGTAGATATGCCTTTTAGAGTGGCAGTTTGAATTGCATTACTTGTAAATGTGAATGTTGTGTTTCTTGCCTCTTCAACAGAATTCTGTGATACATTATTTAAAGCATACGCTAGCTCAGTTCTTGGCTAATGATTTGGGGAGAAATAAGTTACTTGTCAGACTAAAAAGATTATATTAAGTGTGTGCTCTAAGTCTTAGAAAAATGTCCCATGATATCTTTGCGGTTGATATATTTGGTGATTTGTATTGGCCATTATTTTTGTTACTCTATATAAGATTTTTTGGGAAATGACAATGTTATGTCATAGATTTTTACAAAAAAAATTGAAATAGTATTTTTAAAAATTATTCTTGCTATGAGTGAAAATATGAGCATCTGCATTTATTGTTTGTCTGTATTAAAACTTTAGCTTGCTCAAACGTTTCAGGAAATTTTAGAAATTATATGTGAATTAAAAACAAAATTGGAGTTAATGAATGAATACCAGTAATATACGCGATTTTATTACAAATATAAAAATATATAGATGCATGAACATACAGATTCAATTTGGCAGGGTTGATGTGCTTTGGGTTCCTTCAGTTAAACATTGCCATCCGTTGGGACTCCCAAAAGTCTGCCTTCAATTCAGTATTTCTTGCCTTCTCGAATAAGGTTCTCTGAGATACTGATGGCTCCCAACTTGCTGGCATTTCAGACGGGCTTGATGACTTGGCTCTTTGTCCAGACTTTGCCGTAGATGACTAAAAATGAAATTATTTTGATAAAATTTACCTGTACATAGAATAGGCAATTGAAATCAATGGGACGTTTATCATAATTAGATTAAGCTAACCATAATCTGGGAAATCATTTGTATGTTATGGAATATAATATTCCATTATAAAATGGAATATTTTCTAAATACAAATAGGATTTGTAATTGCAGTACTGTATGTCAAGTATAATAGAAATAACAATCTGACTTCAGGGCTTTTTTTTTTCTACTTTTTCTCTCCATGTTTTTTTTTTCCTTTCTATTTCCTTCATATCTACAAATCTTGCCTTAGGCCAGTCTTACGTGGTGGGTCAGCAGCTGTCAGTTCCTCTAGCCGCCATCACGATGAAGCCAGGTAATGTTGCATTTAGTTAGCTTTTCTGCAAACTCTCAAAGGTGTTCCTGAATTAGTTTGCTCAATAGTTTTTTATATTGTTGTTATGAGTGCTCTAAAAAGGTTGGTCCCCTAAATTTCCTTTTCAAATTTATTTTTTTCTCAGTCCTTATTTTTATTGTTGGATGCCTTTTTCACTTATTTACACTTTAAAACTTTGTTTTCAGTGTGACAGATCTTGGTTTGCTTTTAGGATTCTTCCTCTTTGTTTTTATGATTCCAGTGATCTATGATACATTTATGTAGAATAACTTGATACTATATCACAATGTAGTTGCTGTAGCATTATTTAGTCAGGATTTAGGAATTAAAATTCTTTTTTAGAATATTTTTGATTTTTTCCCCCCCTTCAGATCAAGATGTCTTTATTATCACCTGTCCCTTTTGTATTGGCTTGGCTTGCCTGAATTTATTTTCTACTATCTTATTAATTTAAGCTTCTCTCCTATACCTCTTACTCATATAGTGATGAAGGTCTCATCAATACTTTTACTTAATGCTGAGCTTGTGTATGTAATTGGCAACATTTTGTTGAAATGTTGTTTTTAAAACTCCTGCCCGGCTACCTAAATTTGGTGTTCAGAATTTTATGACTACGTGTCACTTTATAATTAAAGTGCATTTTCATTGTTGTTGCATCCTCATACTGTCAACATGGAATATGTATGCCTATCACAAGCTCTGTCACTCTTCACATAAGATTAATACATTCTTTTTTAACTACTTTTCTTAACAAGTTTTAGTGTCTTTGCTCACATAGTATATTATAAATCATGACTTACAAATCATAATAGGTAGCAACACATACAGATATTTAAAACAAACCATAAATTAATGTTGGGGGTTTTGTATACCCCAATCTCTGTGTTTAATGATAATTGGCTATTACCAATAACTAATCCTCACAGGCATATATTTAGCATTTATTTCTTGAAATTCTTCTCATAATTTCACTCTAGAATTAAATACTGTATTTTACCTAGAATTCAAACAACTTAAAGCATTTTTCACTTCACAGAATTTTTTTTTTTTTTTTACTGTACAGTAGTTGCATTTCTACATGCTGCATCGAATTATTACTTGTATGATGTCTAATATTTTAAGGTTTGTTTTTCAGGTGGTAATATGTGCAATGATATTTCACCTGTAATTCTCTTTGTGCCTTTGACAAATGTTTGTATTTTTTCTGTTATACAGATATACTCTTTCAAATATAGACACATCATTAGAAGGAGCATCAGAAGATATGACAGTTGTGGATGCTGCTTCTTTAAGACGACAGGTATCTAAAATTCTTCAGCTATTATAGCTGCGACTCTTACATAATATAGTTAATTCATATAATATATGTAGGTGTAAGGGACCAGAATTGAATTATCATTAACATTTATAAGTATATTCATATTTGGTATTGTAAATATAGTTTATCAACTCTTATACAAAGTTGTTTTCTCAGCATTCTCAGTTTCTATATTAATAAAATATAGGAATGTTCCAGCAAAAATATGAGTAGAAAGATTTGAAAAGGAGAAGCTGTTGAGAAGATATATTCTGTTGCTTTGTTTCAAGCTGTTGAACAAACTCTATGCTTGTTTTAATACAAGTAAATCTTAATACAAGATCTTATTTATTTATTGAATTTATTTGCCACCATCTCATAACTAAACAATTCTAGATAGCTTGCGGCATTAAAAGATTAAAATTCCTACAACTAAAAAACTCTTAGTCAATAAAAATGGAAATACTAATCAAGATAAAATTATAGTTAAAAGATGGGGAGTGAGGGGTTGGTAGAATTGCCCTTTAACTCATCAATTACCTCTAGTGTGATGCTCCCCATTAGGGCCTCAAATCAAGATTCATTCATGCATTTTATGTTGTGTCATTCTTCATATATTGTAAAGTTTTTTGTATTATTTGTTACAAAGCTGAATAATGAATTATAAATAAATCTAGAAAAGGGGTTGAACTGCAAGACCAGAAAGCTTTCACAAATATTTAAAATTAAAAGCCTAGAAAAATATTTAAAATTGCAATAATTACAGATAATCCTCAACTAATGAGCAGTCAAACTTATGACAGGACCAGAATGGGTGTGATGTACCTATAATGCACTTCTGCCCATCGTCAAATGTATTGCCATCTCCATGGTCATAAGCCTGCAGTTCAGGTGTTTGGCAACCAGCTTATGTTTACGATCAGTTGCACCATACCATGGAGACATTATTTGTGATGTTTTTACCTGTTCCTGGCAAAACGCCTGTTTGAAACGATGGGTTTCCACTTATGAACATGGTGTTTGCTCTATGATTGTGGATTTACTTAATATCTGTGGTGATTCATTTAATGACTACAAAAATATTATAAAATTGTGCCTCAACATGTGACCTTGGCAACTTGCAACCAGAAATTCAGTCCCAATTGCACTTTTAATTCAAGGATTTATATACTGAGGAATAGTACATATGGAAACAGAGTGCTAATGATACATCATGACTGCAGTAGCTCCCTGCAAGAAAAGATGTGATAAAAGTAGTGAAATGTAAGAGATAAAAATATGAATTTGTTAATATGCATATAGAATATGAAATAAAATGTAGCCCAAATTCTAAGACTATAAGAACCAGGAGTATTATCTTACTGAAAACAGGACTTCTATTGGATTGAATTCCTATATTGACAGACTCTGCTTGATCAATTGTGGAAAATATTAATATTTCGTTTTCTCTTTTAGATAATAAAACTTAATCGCCGCCTACAACTTCTGGAAGAAGAAAATAAAGAGCGAGCTAAAAGGGAGATGATCATGTATTCAATCACTGTAGCTTTTTGGCTACTAAATAGTTGGCTTTGGTTTCGGCGCTAAAAATTACTTCTACATTTAAAAAGATCTGACAGTGGGGAAATTTAAAAAAATTACAAAGCCCTTTGTTCCTGTCTCTGAATTGTATGGTGACTTATGACCCATGCACTGGAAATGTTTGCCACTGAAAAAAAAAGTGTAACATATTACAGTGTTAAAAGGATGCTTGGACATTTTTTTTCAAATTGCTGTAACATTCTGTTAACATTTTTTTTTGCATGATAATGTACATTTGAACTGTATTATTTTGCAAATGGAAATGTCTTTATCCTGTAAAGGTATCTACAGACACTTCTCTTTGCATAGAAAGATAAACGTGGATTTTTCAAATAATCTACAAAATGGTGTAATTTACAGTAGGTTTTTCATTGTTTTTGTATTATTAAATACAGCACATTTATTGTTAACTAATTGCACTTGTTTTGTTTACCAAAATTTTTTTTGCGGTGGTTTGCCAGATTAAGTGGCATCCTAATTTATCTGTATCTCTCATTCTGGCATGTGTACATATTGTCTAAAACCATTATTTGCTAGAATGTCAACAGATTATCCAGAGGTATGTGTAAAATGTTGTTTAGCTTTAATTTTGCTTTTTTTCCCTTGAAAAATAAAATTTTAAGCAAGTCTGTTTGAGTGATTCAAAGATTATGGAACAATGTACCAACAGTAGTGTAATTCATAAAAGTAAAGAGATTGTAATTTCTTATCAGTGCACTGAATTGTATTCTTTGTTCTTTGGGTATGTGGAAACTTGCAATTGGAACTACTTAACTTTTTATTTTGAGTTAAGACATCTTTTATTTCTTTATTTCTACAAAGCATTTCAAATCACTGTTTCTATTTAAGTGGTTATTTTCTTGTTTGTTCTTACACATTGAGTACAACCATTTGCACATACATTATTTTCCTATACTAATGTTCGCCATGTGTTTTATTTTGAAAGGTCTACCTTCTTGGAAAGTGATGTAAAATAATAAAATGTTGACATGAAAAGCATTTGTGAACTGTGAAAAACAAAGTTCAGTCCTTTAATGATTTCTATAATTAAAGATTAGATGAAATGAATGCCTCAGTTAAATGTTTCCTGATATTTTATTAAAATACCTTTGTAGTGTCTGCCAAAGTATTGTATCTGTTATCATTTTTGGTAGTTTTGTTAGAATTCTTACCCATGAATTAAAACTTTTTTCATTTTTTTTGCCATAGGCAATATGCCTGAGCAATAATACTTATTATATTTTTATTAAGACTTAAGTATAAGAAACAAGATTTTTAAAATATCTTTTGAACCATAAACACTGTCCTGAATCTGTCTCTTTTGGCTACATTTGCTGGGTTAGATGAGTTGCAATCCACAGCTACCACACTGTCTGCTGCTAGTTTGGATACACCAGTCGGGAAATTAAATTAAAATTTTGACAACAGACGTAGAAGAGGCAATGAACTCCTTATTCTGTGAAAAAACCATTTTGAGTTTGGTGTTCCCTAATTTACTCAGTGTGTAATGATACTAAATAAATGGATATATAAATGGATTCCATTTGGAATAGCTACTTTCAGGACATAGCCTTAAAACTCTAGGTTTGCCAAGAATTTTGGGAAGAGGGAGCAAAAATGGCACTAAAACAAGGACAAATAGGCTGAAAAACAGCTTCTATCCCAGGGCAGTAACTATACTGAATTCTACTATATAGTGCAATATTAATGCAAAATAGGGTTTTCAATTCAATTATATATAACCATAATGGCGAACTTATGGCATACATGCCACAGGTGGCACGCAGAGCCCTCTCTGTGGGCATGCGAGCCTTCATTCAGGTCAGCTCCACTGCATGTGCATGCGCCTCCTGCCGGGTCAGCCACATGTGGGAGATGCACGCATGCGTGGCGGCAGGAAGAGCGTGGGGGAGGTTCCCCCCCATGCTCTGTATTTGGTGCCAGGAGGCTTCAGGGAGTGCCTCCGAAGCCCGGGGAGGGCATTTTTGCCCCCCATGAGGCTCAAGGAAAGCTTCAGAGTCTGGGGAGGGCAAAAATGCCCCCACCCCGCTGGGGTGGCGGTTCCACACGCATGCACAGGGGTGGGGCACATTGCATTGTGGGTGTGAGCACACACGCGCTATCGTGCGCGCACACACAATTTCGGCATATGACAAAAAGGGTAGCCATCACTAGTATAGAATGTGAAGGATGTGTGTTTGGATTTTATTTGTATAGTTATAATCATGTAGGTTCCTGCCAGTTCTATAGAAGAGGTTCCAGAAATCTACCGTGCCATTTAGAACCAGTTCCAGCTCCCTCCCTCCCTCGCGTCTGCACCTCGCTTCCCCCGCCCACCGCTCACTGATTGGCTGGCTCACCAATCGCCCCGCCCACCTCTAAGAGTCCTAACTAAATCTTAAAATCTTAAAGCTGTCAAGTTTGAACTTGCCTGGGGTTTTTTTCCTAAAGGGTTAGGAGTGCAAGGGTCTTCTAACTTGACAGCTTTAAGCCTTGCACACTTCAATGCCAGAGTTCTTGAACCAACATGACTGGAGGAGGAATTCTGGGTGTTGAAGTCCACAAGTCTTAAAAGCTGTCAAGTTTGAACATCCCTGGGGTTTTTTTCCTAAAGGGTTAGGAGTGCAAGGGTCTTCTAACTTGACAGCTTTAAGCCTTGCACACTTCAATGCCAGAGTTCTTGAACCAA